TTCTACCGCGATAATCGACATGCCGCCAAACCTCGGGCAAAATCTAGTTACAGACAAACTTACACCCAAACAACGCCACTACACTACACCACACCAAAACACCAACAACACCAGTGAGCACCACTACACTACACCAACGGCCACACAGTACACCAACGCGCTAATCAATAAATTATAAACGGATTTTACAAATATATTATTTTCTATGGGACCGCAGTTTTTCAGTTCCCCGTTAAGCAATTCATACTTAAAACACATAAATATGTAATATACTCTTTCATTAAACCATGGCATGTTTTATAATTGACTAATTCATGTTTAAAGTATAAATTCAGCAAATCTTATGTAAGTTAAAGCTTTCAAGGCACAATGTTAGACGGCATTTGGATTTATCTCAAACATTTTGTTGTCTTATTTGAGCATTTCCTTTGAAAGCTAAATTCGAATGATTGCGTTCTTCATTTAAATGCCTGAAGACATTCTATTGTTATCTAGGCTTATTATGTTGTAAGGTTGGGTGTCGAGAGAGAAATTAAAGATGTTGTTAGATCAACGATCAGATTTATTCTCCAGTAAATACAATAGTGATCACTACTTTTATCTTAAGATAGACATACGTATTATATATGTATTACTACACTACACCCCCCTTCTTTTAAAAAAAATAAAATAATACAAGATATTTATTTTATTTTCATTATAAAAATTCCTTAGATCTAAAAACACACAATATTTATGGTAAACAAAAAAAAAAAAAAATTTAAAGGTTATAAAACTAGGTAAATATTACAAATTTAAGTTCTATACAATTTGGTTCTATTTTTGTGAACTGTTTCAATTTTATTGTCTCTAATTATTTTAACATTCGGTGACACATCTTCTAAAACTTTAAAAGGACCAATATAAACATTCTGAAATTTATTGCAATTTTCATTGCGTAATAAAATTAAATCATTAGGTTCGTAAATAGTTGGATTTATTTGCTTATCGTAATAACGTTTTCGGGCTACTTTTGACATTAACAAATTTTCCCTAGCTTGTACCTGAGATTTTTGAAGTCTGTATTTCAAGGTTAATGGATAATCATCACTATTGTACAGAGGTTCAACTTGTTGAGACAAATTTGTAGGTAATTTACACAGTTTTCCAAACACTAATTCGTATGGCGTAAATTTTGTAGATGTGTGTACAGTAGTATTATAACTAAAAGACCAATAGGGAACCCAGGTGCTCCACTCTCTAGAGCTATTATTAGTCTGTATCCGAAGATAAGCATTTAAATTTTTATGTGCATTTTCAAGCGCACCTATAGATTCATGATGGTAAGCGGTTGAAAATAATTGTTGAACACCAAGTAATTTACAAACCTCACTCATTGTTGATGCTATGAACTCCGAACCCTTATCTGTCGCGATTTCTCGCGGTATACCATACCTGAGAATGAAGTTTTCTACAAAAGATTTTGCTACGGTGACAGCGTCCTTACGATCTAAAGGATATGCTTCTACGAACTTAGTGAGTTCGCACTGAATAGTTAAAATATATACCTTACCATAATAATCCTTATCTAGGGGCCCCACTAAATCTAAAAATATCTTATCAAATGCGCCTGCGGCAGTGCTAGTTACCACCATAGGCTCCTTAACGGGCAAAGAATGCTTTTGCATTTGGCATTTCTTGCATTTAGCTACAAAAGCAGTAACGTCACGTTCCATTCCAGGCCAAAAATAAGATTTTTTGATGTTATTTAACATTCTTCTTATTCCGGCATGACCACTAGTTGGTAGGATGTGATAGTCATTTATGATTACCTTTTTGTCATCATTAGAAATTATTCGCTTAACCCCCTTTAGGATATGTAGTCGTGGTCCGGACCATGGATTTTTATTATTTATTTCTTTTGACAACCAATTTACAAATTCATTACAACTTGCAAGTTTTATAATAAAGAGATCTTTTATACTCATTTTTTTACAATATTGCTCCAGTTCACTCACATATGCGTCTCGCGCGATACATGATCGGAAGTCTGGACAAGTATACAATCTCATTTCACTTTTATTATATAAAAATCTATCTGGACTATTTAATTCACTATTCATAATATTCATTTTTCTCCGAGAAACTAATAATAATTCAACAGAATTTGACGGCTTTGTAAGCATTTCCACAACCTTCGGTTGATCAGGCCGAATGTTAGTGGTTGAGCTCGGCAAAGTTTGCAAATTTGGGTGAATTACTTTCTGACCTTCCAGTTCCTTTCGTTGATTTCTTGTCATAACATTAATTATCCGTTCACTCATTTCTTTCAACTCTTCTGATGTAACTCGCATCCTAGATAATGTGTCTGCAGCAACATTGTCTTTACCTTTTATATACTCAATCACAAAATCATACTCTTCCAAAATTAAACGAAATTTCGTCAATCGGCTTGAAGGATTGTTCATGTTAAATAAATATATTAAAGGGCGATGATCTGAAAAAATTGTAAACCTTTTCCCAAACAAATAAGGTCGGAAATATTTAATAGACCAAACAATAGCTAGCATTTCTTTTTCTATGGTTGCATAGTTTAATTCAGCTTTATTTAAGCTACGACTTGTATACGCTACTGGGCGACCATCCTTATTACATAAAACAGAACCTATTGCAGTTCCTGATTTGAAATCGGGAATTATTTGGAATCACTCAACTGTTTGATCGCTCCTTAGTGTCTTTAGTGATTGCGAGGTTTTATAGGAAATATCTAGGCCGTGTAAAGTAGAAAAGTTTTTCTTTTTGCTAGTATTTTATTTTTTATTTGCATATTAGAGTCTAATAAATGATAATATCAAATATGTTAATGTCTTAATACAGTTTCGCAATTGTCTCGAATTGTTTCGAATTGTCAAATCGATTGAGATGTCTTGGTTTCGAAATCGCAAAGTGACCTTATGTCATGAAGTTAAAGTTGTTTGTTCTATAGCTTCGTAAGGTAAGGAAATTAATTAAAAATATATCATATCTTCACCTATATCCTAAAGGGGTAGATAGAGGTATACATATTTAACTAACCAGAATCAAGCATTAACAATGAAAACCGCCATATGTAAACTCACAGTCGGTAATATACCATCAATTAGAATCTGTTTTATTGTACACCAATTACAGTAAGTTGGTTATATGAAATACTACAATTAAGTTTTTATATGAAATACTTATCTTAATTTTACAAACCTGCAATATTTAATCATGAATAGTTAAGAATCTTTGTCGCAGGTTTGTGCAAAACAAATTGCTGTACGGTTACTATCTCTATACTAATATAATAAAGCTAAAGAGGATTTAGGTTTATATTTTTTTTTTTATTTTCAATTTGCTAATCTCTGAAGCTATCAATAACATTTGAATGACTTTATTTATGTTGAACAGAGTATCTTGTGAGGATTGATAAATACTATTAAAGGTGACGCTATGACCCTCAGAAACGTGCTCGTAGTTGTGACCAAAACGCAAATGACTCCGTTAAACCAAGATAATAAATTTGAAAATTTCAAACCTTACATGAGGAATAGATTGCTTGGAATTTTCCGAGTGGTGATGGATTAAAAATGCGGAGTTTCACCATTCATCCCGTTCGTGTCGTAAGAGTGGGCTAAGGGAGCAAACTACGTAATGCAAAAAGAACTAACACTTGAAACAAACCTTATAGGCCAAAATCTGCCTTCTAAGAAGAGGCCAATGTCCAGCAGTAGTCTATTGAATGCTGTTGATGATTGATAAAGATAATTTTATTATTAAATTTAGCGACTTTTCACAAAAAAAAAACATAACAATGGAACAGAGACTCAATGTTAGTTTATAATATTGACGTTATGTATTATATTCAAGCGTCTCTTCACGTAGTTTAAGCTGATCTAAAGTCACAAAGGATTCGTACACTTTACAAGGATTGCCTTCCTTTGCAAATGTCTCTTGGCTGTTTTTCCCAGTTGGTGGATTCTGATAGTGATTGAGTGTAAATAATCTGCTTGTTTGAAATGTAATTAAATTAAAAAAGTATTTTCAAAAATCCACTATAATTTATCTTTACATCGAAGCTTTGTTTCGTTGGCAGTGCCATAGTCACAAATCGAATAGAAGCAAGAATTCATGCGTTTAAAACACTACATTCAAGGTTAGTTCCAATGAATACTTTGCAGAAATCCGTATTTCCTGCTATAGGTCCAATGCCAGAGATACCGTATGGTTTTATTCGGTTCGTTTCCTATAAAATCGTTTCGTCAAACTCTCTACGGGGAGCCGAGTACTATAAAGGGAGAAACATTGAGAACAAATTTTATTATATTATTATTATATTAATGATATTAAGAAAATTTAGACATTAATTCAACCGTAACTACGAAGAACTTATCCGTGTGGTGACGAATTACGAATATGGAATGTCGCCAATCCTATTCATACCGTGGGTGTCGTAGGAACTAAGAGAACAACCCACCCAGGACAATAGCACTGCAAATAGAATAAAAACTTGACACAAACTCTGTACCAACCCGTCTGACCAGCATGGTATAAAAACCTCTTTCTAAGAAGAGGCCTATATCCAGCAGTGGACTATTAAAGGCTGTTGATGATGATGACAAAGAACTGAATTATTATCTCCAAACTCGTATGAAATATAGTTAGCTCTAGTACATTATTATCATTGTGTATAATCATGGTAAGTTCAATTTCTTACTTGTCTACTTGTTATTTATAATCATCTTTATTTATAACTAAGCCATTTTCGTGATTGATTAGGTCAAGAATAGAGAATCATGAATTATAATCTTATATACATATGTACGAATTTAAAAGACGAGGATAGCTCTTAAAGGATTGTATCAGGAAGATTGATATAGCTCAATCAGTGCTTTGACAAAGAGTTTCTTAAAATCTGTAAGTGAATATCTGGAACTGCAATTTCAACATATTTTGTCTCGTATATATCGCGTCTATTGACAGCTTTGCTCAACACTTTCCTACACACTGCTTTGTGCCCTCCCTTCGGCTTTGTGCATTATTGTTTCACAGTGAAATCTTCCATTTTCTTTGTGCAACGTCTTATTTAACCCCTCCGCTTCACTGCCGCTTTTACCTGCAAGAAGATTTTTCATTTTATATGCATTGTTATAAAAATACATGAGCGAGTTCTTGAGAGTTTTAATTACGTAACCGCCCTTTGAGCTTTGTAGAGGAGAGAGTAGATTGGCTCTTTCTTTATTTGACGTGTGGCGACAGTCGCCATAGTTTCCGTCAAATTTTTGATGTTAAGCTTGAAATCTTGGAACTTAAAACTTAGTAGGCGTTATTTAAACATAAATGAACTCTTGTAATCTTAAAGTTGCATAATGTATTGCGCTTTAAACAGCTCTAAATTAATTCATATAAAAAAAAAACTTGTTTTTGAACCTTTAAAGTTATTTACACCCCGAATCATCCATAATTTAAGCAAATTAAAAAATTACACCATTAAATACAAACAAGAACTTTAAAGTTACATATTAAAGTACCATCAAAAGTCACTCGTGATTATAAAACAACCTATTTTTAACCGATAAATAATTTGACTACGTCCATTTCTATTATCAGATAAAGTAGCATTGGTATTTATGTGGTACTCAATACAGGTCGCTATTGGCTGGCAACGGCAGGTGTATCGGACAGTGTCCGACAGACCCAGACACCTAATGAATCTGTTTCGAGTTTTGGGTGTATACAGGGTGGCCATATTTGTTTCCGACCTTTTGTTGTGTTTTTGTTTTAGCGTAAATGATGAGATTAATACCAGTGTCTAAATGTACATTAACCACCGCGCCTGTGGAATTTGAGTATAATATGTGAATGGTTTTTAACACGTTCGTACATTTGTGGCGTAATTGCTTGAGAATTCAGGTTATAAATTTAAAAAAGGAAATTTTTTTTGTTAAAAAGGCATAAGTGAGTGATAGGAATCGTTATTTTTAGTAACACATTTTATAGACACGAAGAGTATTGTGCATGTGTAAAATATATTTTAAAAAATGCCATAAAATCATAATGAATTACATTTTTTATATCAACACTTAATACGTAGCTCCAATACATAATAATGTTCATTTTAACTGTATTTTTTAAATAAAATAAAATGTTTTTTATGAAGATTGAATGAAACGAATTGAAATTAACACCCTGTATCTGTCCATCCATTCATCCACGGAAGACTCTCAGTAGGTGTCTAATCAAGTTTTATTACGATACGCGTAATAATACTAGTTGCCATGGGAACCAGTCACACTGATCCGCTATCCTATCTGACGCCATCCCTGCAATAGATAACGAACAATTTATTTACATTTAACGACTGTTAATTTTTAATTATTTAATAAACAATTTTAATTAATTAATCTATTCGTGAACATGAGTAAGATGTTTCTTGTAAACGAATATCAACAAGTATATATAAAATAACATTCTCTTTTTAAATAGAGAGTAGTTCATTAGTACATTTCTTAAAATTCTAGGAGTTAAATTTAGGAAACTGTGATTTATTAGTTAATTGAAAGTGATTATAATTGAATTGAATTTGGTTGAATACATAATTGTTATGTATGTCCTTCTGTTTTTTTTTTAAGTTTTAATTAAAGTTTAAAACTACACCTCAAAAAGTAACTGCAGTTAGCAAAACTCAGTTTGGAATAAAACCCCCAGGTGTAATCGCGGCGGTAAGACCCGTTATGGAGGATTGGCTCGAGAGGCGTCACGGGACCCTCTCATACCGACTGACGCAGGTGATCACTGGGAAAGGATGTTTAGGGGATCTCCTGTGTCTAATCCGCAAGGAGCCAACGCCTGAGTGCCACCACTGCGATGGCCAGACCGTGGTCACGGCTCTCCACACGCTGGCAGAGTGCCCGGGGTTGAGCAGAGGGGAGACCTCGTGGCGGCCATCGGAGTGGGAGTTCTCTCGCTCGATAGCCTGATTGCGGCTATCGTGCGGAGCGAGAGTGCGTGGAACTCTGCGATCTCCTTCTGCGAGTAAGTTATGCGCGCGAAGGAGACGGCGGAGCGGGACCGGGAGAGGTTTAGGACTCTCCCGACCCGCCAGGCCCGGGAACGGGCCAGGTACCGCAGGCGACTCAGGCGCCGGAGGTCGCAGAACGACCTCCGTCCTCCATAAGGGCCTGGGGGTGACAGGTGAGGCCATCTGACACCCTAGCATAAGCACTCGCTTCCAGGGAGCAGAGGGAACATGGGGTTCCCACACGGGGGGTCGTCTACCTCTTATTGTAGATGGCCCGAGGTATGTCGGGGCACCAGGGACTTCCTTTCTAGGGTATACCTGGTTCCCCGGCTATTAGTACCCTAGACATCCCACCTATAGGTGGTATCCGAGGGGATTTCCGCACGGAAAAAAAAAATGGTGTAATGCCGAGTTCTACAAGTACAAGATCAAATAATATTTTTAGTACATCAACAGCCTATAATAGTTCACTGCTGGACACAGGCCTTATACACACACACAACTTGTATTCGATATTCATTGTCTGTATAAAGTACTACGTTTTAACGGAAACCTATAATAACTACAAATGCCATACATCTCTGTCACGATAATATATATATACTGGTTACCCAGCAATATCCATATTCTTATAAAAATGGTGTTACTTTTAAGAGTCGAGTTGAGTCAAAAATGGTCGTAAGCTCAACATTGAGCTACATTGTAAGAAACATAGTTGTTATTATTCTAACTCTTATAGATATAGTGAAGTTCATATACAATGAACCATCAACTAGTTTGCAAAAATAAATTTGAAAAAACCTTAAAAACAAATTTATATGTTTAAAATATAACATTATCGTGCGCTGTCAGATTGTTAACTGATAGCTAAATTGCTTACTTTTTTTAAGACGACCGGTTTGCGTATTGGTTTGTGTAACGGACTGGTAATCCAAAGGTCGCAGGTTCGATTCCCGCTCAAGTCAAACATTTGTTTGAATGAACTTTGTTAAAGTTTGGGACTATATATTTTTTAAGACATCTCCTACCAAGACCTGCAAATAAAGAGACTACTGACTAGGACATAACTGCTCACGGTAAATAACCAAAAATACATGAACGAAAACTTCATGGATTGGGATCAGGCTCGACTTATAGCTACTATATATAACTACTTTCATCAGCGAGCAGTGTGCTTTTATTTTTCTTCACGTGACATAGATGTGTCTTCTGCTAATCAAGAGTTTAATGTATTTTCGAAAGTTTTTTCATCTCACGCTCGGCCCTTTGATCCCAAACTAGGTAGTGCTTCTACTATGGTAACAAGATACATACATATTATACAAATTAAAAGATAAATTATATTCAGACACAAAACAAATACTCGTGCTCATCACACAATTATTTATTCTGAGTGGGAATTGAACCCATGACCTCTAGCTTAGCAGTCAAGATCACTTACCCCTATTATTGCAAGTATGACCTGACTCCAGAGGTGGAGAACCGGTTGCTGTTGCATTTATAGCAAGAGACAGTAATAGGTTAACTAAATAAATAAAATACCATCATCATCATAAACTGCCTTTAGAAGATCACTGCTGGACAAAGACCTTTGCTTAGTAAGGAGATTTTGGCCTACTATATCACGCTGGCTAAACGGGTTTGTATAGGGTTTCTTTCAAGTTTTCCTTCTCTTTTCAATGCTTTTTGCTGCCTTAGTTGGCTCTTATGAAGCCCACGCAATGAATAGGACTGGTGAAATTTCGTATGCTTAGTCCGTCATAAACAACAAACAAAATACCATTCATCAAAATATCGTGGCAAAATATTCCTCCCTAGCGATTTTCGTATTCTGGATTCTGAAAACTAAGCATCTATATAACAGCTGTATAAAAATCAATAAATAAGTTTAAGACTCAATTTTTGAGCACGTTATATTTCATTAGAAACATAAAAGTCGGATTATAAACGTGGGTACAATGGACTTTTCATAAAAATATTGTAGTAATAAATTGAGTAACGATATAATAAAAACGTTTTACTCGTATACTGGGATCCGTATTTTTAAACAGTTAAGTAATTTGACTCTTTTGTGTTACGATTTTATCACAAGACCATTTAGAATGTTTAACTATTAATAATGAAAAAATAATTCTTTGCAAGGCTCTCAATATATTTGCAAAACTTTATTAATACTAATACTAGTAGTATAGTTGTAGTATTATTATAAGGAACACAAAACGTATTATTTTCCATGTGAGTCTGTAATTTTCAGTGATTGAGTTAGTCGGTCCCAGTAAGCTCCAAAAGATGTGTATTTACTGTCTAGATTCGCGGTGTATTGTAAAATGGAAGGTCTGATTAATGTGGAAGACTATTAGGGTATATTTCGTTGTCTATCCTTTAACTTATTTTTTTTTTATTTAGCTGATACAAATATACATCATCTATATAGAGATGCAACATAAACTCCTTCGAGTTTTACCGTACATCAATGTCAATCACTTCTCTCTTGAGTTGTTTACCTCCTTTTTCGTAAAAAAGCACCTGACTCTGATCTAACTGACCTTTTATTTTCTCAAGACTGTAGATCTTGAGGTAACTTAGACCTAAAGCATATTTTGTACCAGTACCGGGTAACGCAAATTGTGTAAATTTCCATTTGAGTTGTACTTAGCTCTTACTTTTACAAATCTAAGAGAACAGCTACCAACAATTTATCTTAGAGATGTGTTAGTTACACTCACACAAGTACAATCACTGTTTTATCCATACTTATATTATAAATGTGTGGGTGAGTTTGCTTGTTTGTTTTTTCGCTTTCACGCCTAAATCACGAAATCGATTTAAAAACTTATTTTACCAACCTAAAGCTACATTATCAGCGAGTAAAATAGGCTACTTTTCACCGCGATAAACAGACGGGCGAGAACGCGGGCGAAAGCTAGTAGAATATAAATACGATACTATCGTACTACCAAAATATATTTGAATTTCTAATTCATTAATGTCTACTTCAAAAGATTAATTAAATTTAACATTATCGAGGGCTCTTTGATACGAAACATTAAAAATGGGTCATGATTAGTGTAGTCATACATTCTTTGTTCTTCACC